CTTTTAGGCTGGCCTAAATCTATATATTATGTACTTCTAGAAAATATCCACATCCCCACCACACCAAGGGGGAAATTTCGCATAAGGTCCCCCTCCACCCCAGAATTTCCATTTTATAAACACAAATAATAAGACCCCTGGTGGGGATATGGATATTTTCTGGAACTACACAATTTAGAAAAAAAGAAACTGGTTTCTTTATTGTAATGAGATAGCGAAGAAAAAAAATAATCATTTCCAAACTTGAGGGCACTTATTCAAGGATTTATAATATAATAAGCTCTAAGTTCGCTTCATGTAAAATTAAATATCAACTAAAAGTTTTTAACCCTAGTCCTAAGCCACTAGGAGGACGGCCATTATTTTCTAGCGTGCAACTTAATTATCGATCTACATCAATAAAATATTATTAAGATAGCTGTCATAACTCACCTTCAAATCTCCGCCATCTGGTATGTTGGAAATTAAAATCCATCTTCGTTTCTCAAATTCAACTTTCCCCGGATCAGTTCCTATCGCTGAGCCGCTCTCTAACTGAACCGCACCGTTCATTCCTCATTGATATCCTCGCCTTATCCACAGTATTTTACGATCAGCAGAAACAACAAATAGGTATAAAGCAAACTATTAGAAATCTTAGCTCCAATCTCTACACCATTCATAAACGTTTCATAAACACACGCTCGATGGAGAGATGAAATATCCCACAATCCCTCTGACCACTATCTCATTGTTGCCTTTCGTCAGCAATCGGTGGAGATTCGTAAGAGTTCCCCCGCAAAACGCCATCTTCGGAAATGTTCGGAAATCTTCAAAAAATGCTGTATATTGCTCAAATAATCAAGCAAAGGATGAAGAAGAAAAAAACAGTTAGAACTACGGCGGTTTTATTTAAACTTTTGAAAATTACAGCTGAAATACTTCAGGTTTCCGGCGTTTTGGAAGGGAAGGGACCGGAGTTCAGAGGGTGCACCCCACCCGCCCACCCTGCTGTTATTGCACTCAGTTCTGCATGATAACACAAGGAACATAAAATGGTGCTTGGGACTGCCGTTTTGGTGGGAGTGCTGGCTGGTTTAACTGTACTTTGCGTCTCCGCTTTTGGCGTTCAAATGTACTTTATTCTATCAGGCAAAATGCCGCAGAGCAGACAATACATGTATCCATCGCATCACACCTTTGTGCCTTTCTACCATGTCTGAATCAAGTATGCCAGTGACCGGAGAACTGCTTCGTGTTTTAGCCCAGCTAGAGTGTTTGCCTTAAGATAATTTCAAGTTACACGAGAGCAAAAAAGGCCCGTTTATGAAACTACCGTCCCTGAAACATTTGTAGACTGTATATGGCATCTGATCTGCTTCTACGAAGATGGTCCGCCACTTGTCTGAGTCAGTTGAATTTACATCTGGAAGCTGTTCTCTAAGCATTAGAAACTTCTCCGGAACTGTACTGACCTTTAGAAAGCATAATATTAGGAAAAATTACAACGAACACGGCGTGTATTTATAGCGGCCTGAACGATGTTATTCCAGTACACTGTTCATGTATTAGCCATATTCCATTTATCATACTCAGAAGTCAACATTGTTTGCATGCAAAATCGTTTGCAGTTCAACAGTACATAAATTAAAACCAATAGATATACAACAACAGTGTGTCATAGAAACGCTGCAAGCTTGCATGTTGCAGTTAGAGCTTGTCATAGTTATAGCATTGCACGGGGTCAAATATCTCAACTTAACTTCGATGAATTTTCATCTGCATGTTGTTGATCTCTTTGAAGGAATAAATTTCGTCCTCGTCTTTGTCATGCGCACGAAATTTCCTTGATCTCGGCGGTTCAGGCTCTGGTTCAAATGGGTCCTGGCTTTCAAACTTGATTCTTATGAAATAGTTTAGCA